TATCTCCCCTTCAACACTCGCCGCCACTATCACCATCCCCCACGTCGTCGCCTGAAAGATCCAGATTTTTATCTTGGCCATTGAAGCAAATTCAGTATGTTGGGGAAAACGAAGAGAGGTTTTTTCGGAGGAGATTGTGAACGTGGGACGGTGGGTGATTTTTTTGGAGAGTGATTGGATCTGACCGGATTTTTTGGTAATTATATCAAATGCACTCAATTTGCCCGGATTTCATTAATAACAGTTACATTGTCATTTTAGGTAGAACTGTAATATTTATGGCTTTGTTTAGTCATTTTATAATTAAGAATATAATTAGTGTAAAAGTGTAATAATAATTATATGTAATAGTAAGGGGTGCAAATTCCTCAAATTTCTTTCCCCAAGTTCAAAATTTGAATTTTAAAAGGCATGGAAAATGGAGCTAAAAATCGCAAGACTATGGACTGGTTTTCTCCAAAGCAAGAGGGCTGGTTTTTCTTAAGGCTTCTTGGGCCAAGATATACATGCACTTGAGCTGAAAATGCATATCAAAATTTAGCCGAGCCTAAGGTTCCAGAAGGATCGAGAAGGGTTCGAAATCATACTACGCCATTTAACCGAAACTTAGCGGACTAGTTTACTAACAAATAATTTTACAAAGTCATACACATAACATAAAGATAAAAGCAATTACATTAAAATATAAAGACAAGCAATTATATCAACGAAACAATCACATAGAATAAAAACGAGCACATAATAATGGTTGTAGGAAAGCAATAATAAAATGAAATAAAAGCAAGCAATTATAAAATAAAAGCAAGTGATAATATAAATGCAAGCAAATAAAATAATAAACACGAGAAAAATCCTATAAATCGAAAGGGGCGCTAAAGAGAGATAATGGACTAGAGGTTGGTGATAGCTAGGGTGGGTCCTACGGGTAGGATGAGTGGGTGGGGGCAGTGGTAATGTGGTTGGATGATATTTGTTAGATGAAATACATATAGGGGCTACGATTTATTCTTACTTTGAGGCTCATTATCACATTTAGACACATTCTCACAATAGCTTTATTATATATATATATAGGGTTGGGATCCGGTGAGAATGACTCTTAATGCGAGAAATAGGAATAAATCGTAGTCATTAGATCATAATTATACCTTCATTAAGGGTATATTGGTAATTACTATTACACATCACCATGCCACATCACCCACCCCACACACCTAACACATACAAATCACACGCACACACACTCTACACACACACCCACCAGACACACACTATACACATTAATCACACACACTGTACACATTAATTACACACACTATACACAATACATTAACACATACACACACACTGTACATTAATCGCACACACACACACACGCACATACACACACATATACATACATACACGAAGCTATAAATGCGCTCGCTAGAACTGTGACACTTGTCGTACATCTTTAGGCTTTGTGTCAAATAATAGGGAAGATAAAATAACTTTCATTAAGAATGGCTTGAGTAAAGAATCTCAAGATCATACTATTCAACAGATTCTTGAGACACATTGTAGTAGATATGTGCATCGAGAACTGATGTCTTTATGGCTTCTGTTAAAACATGAAGAGAAACTCTATTTTCTCGAAAATATTGCTTCCAAAGATCATGTTTGTCAACACTGTTCTTGATAGTACCGATGTACTATATATAAATCTTATCGCTGCTGACAGATAAGAGTCATTTAAGACTCAACTGCTTTCTTGTCGGAACTTTTCTTCTTTAAAAGGTGAATCTATCTTCATAACCAATTACCTCTCATAATAAATGGCTACTGCCGAATCTTCTCAAGGTATCAAACTTCTTCAACTAATCAAAACTGTATGTGTTCTTGGTGGTTCTAGGTTTGTACTCTTCCCTCATAACATCTATGTTATAAGCCAACTAGTGAAAGAGTTGGGAAAACACCAGATCAACATACTTTATGGAGGGACTAGTATCTTTCTCTTTAAAAACCTCTTAATGGCCGCTAAATGCTTTGATATCGAGGTGAGAAGTATCCTTCCTTTTATCTCACTTCCTCAAATATTATCAAAGATTCTGCTACTTTGATGATAACTCTCTCAATTTATGACTGTTTGATGGCGATGATATCTGGTTGCGATGCTTTCATCGTTCTTCTCGGTGGATATGGAACTTTAATGACTGCTTTTACCCTTGCTACTTGGGCAGAAGTGAAATTCCATACCAAACCTATTGGTTTGTTGAATTTCAATAATTTTTTCCACAACTTACTTGGATTTCTAGATGAAGGAGTGTATCAAACTTTTATATCTCCTTTCCAAAGAGAAATATTCAAGTCTGCTGACACCTCCTCTGAACTTATCAAGAAGCTTCAAAACAGCATCTCAACAGTTCAAGATTCTGTGGAAACTCTCGGATTCAAACGCAAGCGAGCATTTGATCCTTTAAATCTATGTTTGAGAAACTACAGCCATGATGGGTGGCAGAGTTATGGAGTTTTGTGCTCTTGAGACGAACCCTCCTTTTATGTAATATAACTTTGTATTCGTTGAGGATTCTCTTCTACTTGTCTGAATCTCCATTTTTTGTTATTTCTGTACTAGCTTCTTAGAAATAATGAAATCCTCAACAGTGTGCTTGAATCTACAACAATCTTTTCTAGCTCTTGACTTTCAATGATACTAGAATTTCTATCTTTCCAGTATATTGATTTCTCAAAAATCTTCTTCTTTTGATATATGCTTGATTCACATATCGATACTATTTGACTGAGAAATTTCTTAATTCAATCAAAAGTTTTTATACTTTTAAAACTTTGCCCTGTGATGGTTTTGGAAACTCTGCCTAGCAGCATTCTGAAAAACCACTAACCCTTTATCTTGAACAGTATAGCCATTAATAAATAGCTACACCAAACTTAAGGAATTTACTAATGATTAGCCGAAAACACCTAGCTTGTGCTAGAGTTCCGGTTAATCTCTTTCTTTCTTGCTTCTTCTCGCAATTTCTGATTTCTGACTTTAAACTCATCATCTATCTTTGGGAACGAATACTTGCTCCAAAGAGATGAAAACTTATTAGTATTTGCTTTATTAGACAGACTATCTTTAACTTTCACATGTCCAAATTACTCTTGCTTAACTTCTAAATTTCTTCCGAGAGGTTTGAATAATCATCTCGGTATCTGGAATGTGATACTTATTGACTGATATCTTTTAACGTTCGATTTCAAGTCTCCAGGTAAACTCAAACTAATAATCCTTATTCCAGGTTTCCATAATTCACAAAGCTAAGTGATGTAATATGTTGATACCTTAAACTCATACTCATTGGTTCTTGAAAACTACTTTGTATAGCTGTAGTGTCAAGTATTAATACAGAATAACTGATAACTTGATCTCGAACTTTGCCAATTTTAGTTCATGATATCTAACTGATAAGATACCCAAACTTCTGACTCTAAAGATTGACTACTTTCTGAAACTTTGTTTCTATGGTTCATTTTCAAGCCTCCAGGAACTTATCCGGGTTATGGTTCTTATTTCAAACCTCCATGATTTACCCAGACTTGTGGCTATTATGAATTGAAAAACCGTTACTTCTGATACTGGCTCAAATACATGGTCAACCTCTAGAGTCAGATCTTAACTCAAATCTTAATCTGGTGGCTTAACTTAAAATTTTCGAGTCTCTTTATTAATATATCTTGGAGATTAACTTGATAAATTAGAGTTCAAACTTGAATTCTAACTATAGTTCTGACTTCTTATAGGAAGATATATATGATACTACTAAGATTCTTTAATACTAATCTGAACATCTAGACTGATTTCTAGAGTTCGGATATCTTAATTCTTATTGAGCATAGACCTAGTATGAACATTAATTTTCACCATTTAAGCATGATCACAGACCAATTAAACATGCGAAGTACTCAAATTTCTTCTCCTTCTCATCGAATCCCAAAGGTATGAACTTAATCCATTATTCTCCGCTCATCCTACGTCTTAAGCAAGCATAATTATTCAATTTTCTAGATTTTAAACTCTTTTTAAAACCTCCTTGAGAAATAACTAATTCAAGATCAAACTTGAACTTCTTAATTTATAATGGTAGGCTTAGAAGACTTGGAAAAATAAGGGATTCTTAAGTTTGGTAGGAAAATGATTTCTTTTATCATTCAAGACTTGTGGTTCAAGAAATAATGAGCTCTTTATCTCTCATCCCTCTTGATGTTCACGGCTAATATGATGAGGGAGCTGAATTTATATGCTCTTAAATATCATAGATTAATACTCATTCTCTTGTCTTGCTTAGGACTTTAATTAAATAATTAAATTTTAATTAAAGGAATTTTAATTAGAGATAATTAAATAGATGAGAACATCTACTTAATTTCTTTTTATTAATAAAATTTAATGGACAAGGACATCAACTTAATTTCTCTTTTAATAAAATGTCTAGCTTAAAAAAAATAAAATTAAAATTAAAATAAACATGCATGAAATGACTCTGCTCGTTTAGGGCACTACACAAACTATGTTCAATCATTAATGCCAATCTGGTAATTATTTGATCATAGTATGGTCAAATATGTGCATTTGACCAATAGATAAGGGTAAGTTGGTCAATACACATATGTTATGTAGGACCCACTCACCAATTAAATATCTATTTTCTCTTTCATCACTCTCCTTTATCACAAATCGATTTCAGATCTTCACACACACACACACACACACACACACACACGGCTGGAACGGCTCTTATCGGTTGTCGACGTTAGGAGCTCCGTCGGAGCCAGAACTCCGAGCTGCCGTTACCCAGCCAAATGCTGCCATAACACCCACCCCCGACGCCGCAGTCCGGCGTGGCCACCATGCCGTCGAGCACCACGATGGGCAGCTCACTGGAAGATAGAAAGCTCATTTTATGAAAGTCAAACATTTTATGGATCTAACATATCAACTGTAGCTGTCTTTCTCCATCTCAAAGTGTTGGATCAATGTCTCGGCATCTTGTCCATATAGATCGTCTTAAAATGTCCCTTTTGTGGTTCCTAATGTCTTTCTCAAGGCAACCAATCATTGATGGACCACCAACTTCTATCTCAAATAATCTCACATGTTGGCTATTTGGAATATTAGCTTCTGAGAATTGTTGAACCAAGGCTTTCTTGGTTGTTGAGACAATCCTATGTGACGGTAGCAAGTGAACTTTGCTAGGATTCGTGAGGTGATGATTATGTTGCTCGATAAAACAACTAACGATCCACATGCCATCATCCTGGGATTTTTTCACTCTCATTTTAGCTTGGTAGCCGCATCGAATATGTCCACGCTTCCTTTCCCCAGATTTGCTCGCCATATTTTTCTTCTTAGTCTGCCAAGTTTCATCCGTCTTTCCTTCCTTATTACAGGCATACATCTTCTAAACCTCCTCATTCGTTTCTTTAATATTCTTTTATTGGCCATACGCACGCTAAATCCTATTTGCCTGGCATAATTATTATAAAAGTTGTAGGCTTCCTCAAGCGATTGAAACACTTGACCAACTTTTGGTGTCGCACCAATAGTGACTTGCGGAACAAATGATGTTTCATCTTGCTCTACGTTCATCCCTACAATAAGAGTGTTAAAATGGAATAACAATTTTGGATATACAAAAATTACAAAAATTACATTCCAACTGTGAACAAAAAAAGAAATAATAATACAAAATTGTTGGCAAATCATGATAATTGAGTTCCAAACAATGTTTGTACTATTTAACAGGTACTAAAGTAAATTGCATAAAATTCATTCTAAATTCTTAGAATCAATTCACCGAATCAATAATATTTTTAATTATATTAATATTGATCCACATTAATGTAACTTGAAGGGGAAAAAATCCAACATGAATGTATACGCAAATCATCATTGACAGAGCAAAATATGATAAGATTTAGAACTTAAAATTTAAACTTGCAATAAAAACCATTTTCAACTTCCTTTTTCTTAATTTTGTTAAACATACATATGATTCTAAAGAGTAACACAAACTAAAACAAAACAAAGTTATGGTGAAGAAGTGAATAATTTTCACACACAACCAAGAAAAAAATAACCTCTCGTGTGCGGGAAAGAAAAATCGGGACTGGCCGGATGTGGGAGGTGTGACCTGAAACTGGGCTCGTCAATTGCGTCCGTCGGCCGGGTATGGCTCGTCAACTTCGTTCGCCGTCAAATGCGAAGCCGTCGTGTTTTTCTAAGAAAATTTGGTCGGGGAGAAGATGATGGAGTATACAGTAAAGCAAACTTTTGTGTGAGCTTTTAGAATGTATTTATTTGATTTCCCAGTTGACTGAAATAAATGTCTTCACATTGTTGCTTTCTTTATGATTGCTTGTATGCTAAATGTCCAATTATCTTGTATTGTGGACAATGTGGTGTGTTAGTAGTCACACAGAAAATTACATTGTCAGTTCTTTATAAGATATAAATGGTATTCACAACTGAGATAGTTATGGACATGACTATTGTTGTAGGTTGTAGTATAAACTGGATGTAGCTTGTCTTGGCTATTGGTTTATACTAGTGCGCTGCATCGCATTGAAAGGATCACAGTTGAGACGTGTTCTTCTGTTCTGACTGTCATGAAAAACCAAGGTCTCAGTGACTCTACTAATTCTTAACTCTAATTGTGATACTTAGATATATGGGATATTTGTTTGTTACTTTGACTTACCATGGGTGAGAACCAATTTGGTTCAATATGCTCGTATCTTGGGTAACAACATTGTCTGCATGATATCTATTTATTGGCATTAGGGAACCGTGTCCTGGACATCCAGGTTGATGACGTCCCCTAAAGGAACTCATAAGGATTATCGTACCAAACCCTGCAGGTGGACTTAATCCGTACGATAATAAGGTTGAGTGGTACTACTTAAGGAATAAAAGATATTAATTATTTAAAGCAGTCAGAAGCTTTAATAATTAATGGACGTGCGATATCTTAAACACGGGGAATTATATCGAGTCTAATAGAATCCCTGATTCATTTCGGGATAGGACGTGAACTAGTGGAATGAATTAGTATTTACGGGACAAATTGTGCTCTGGGCTGAACATAAGAATTTGAGCCCGTAGGAAAAACCCTATACCTTCTAAGAGATCCCTAGTCTGGCCCAAGGACCTCTATAAAAGGAGGGATTGCACGTCTTTAACCCTACGCATTATCACAGACGTGACACTCTTCAGCCACCATTGTGGAGAAAGGGACGTGAAGGGTTCAGAGAAGACGAGACGCAATCCGCTCCTTTCAACCGTTTGGTAGATCGTCGTCCATCCGGCGTCCAAACGTGGTCGGGACACAGACTAGAAGATCGCTCAGATCGAATCAAAGCCTCGAAGAAAGGGAATTCTCTGTTCGTCCTTTAGGAGCATGCCTAGGGTTATTCGAAATCATGTATCTACATGTTTGGTATCCGATATCGATCCGTGGGAAGGACCGCCTCGCCGGCGTGTTCCAGCGGAAGAAAGGAAAATAAATGATAATTAGGTTTGTAAGAGAAATAATATCTGATGATGTGTATGTGCCACGTAAGCAGTGGGCCTATTAATATTTGTCCACCGTGGGTAGGGTAGTGGAACTGTCAAAATATAATGTCGTTGACTTGTATAGATTTTTTTTAAAAAGAAATTAATAACTTACTAAAATATGTTGTCTTTGAACTACATGTAATATGTTCTCTTCCTTTGATCTATAAATACCTTTCAAATTCACGTGGCATCAATTACCACTTGTGGTTTCCTATGTGATGACTGGTGAATTTAAAAAAGAGTCAATGACTATTAGTAATACACACTTCGACCCATTATTTTCCAATGAATTTAAAGTTCTATTTTGTGTTATCAGACGCGTAACCAGTGATCTTGATTTAAAAGTATTGGTTTGTGAATCACTTCGACCCATTATTTTCCAATGAATTTAAAGTTCTATTTTGTGTTATCAGACGCGTAACCAGTGATCTTGATTTAAAAGTATTGGTTTGTGAATATCACTTTGACCGGTCATATCATCATTCTATTTATAATGAAATTTTTAATAATATTGAAATAAATTTCATTTTTTTTTTATTAATTTGCCATTTCTTTTTCATAACGATAACTGTAACACCCCGCCTAGACTTACTAAAAACAGAGTAAATTTTTCGCGCTATAAATGGGAAGTACTTATTTATTTTTCAAAAACATTATTAATTTTCAAAAAGACTTTAACTTTAATACACGAGATGCTACTGCTGTAATCTATTCTCTTTAATTACTATGCATGCAACCAAGAAGAGTTTACTGGAGTCATTCATGCATTCTGAAATTCTGAAATTATAGTTCTGAAATGCGGAAGCAAATATAGTTCGGAAAGTACACACCAACACATGAAAAACATGCAAAGACCAAAAGACAGTTTAGACATGTTCAAGTAACTATAAGACATGTCATATCAAAAATGTACTGGCTGACGACCACCACCACATCCAGCTCACGCTCCACGCGGGACTCCGTCACCTGAAAAAGAAGGTAGTGGGGAGGCGTGAGCACAAAGAAATCAACAGTGCTCCGCCGGGACCGGTACTGAATACCCAGCACCTTTAATAATCCATCATGAAATTAGCATATATATAAATAAACTGGAACTGACTATATGGGACTAACGGTAAACCGGTACTCATGTGCACACTCTGGGGGTCCCCTCCCTCAGAAATCCAGGAAGGCACTAATCGCCACATCTGGACGCTAGACTTAGGATGGGCCCTAATCACACACATCCAAGTCATAACTGAAATACTGAAATATTGACCAAGACGAGATTACTCAACCGTCTCGGTCCTTCAATTTAATCACATATAGACCTCAGACATGGTAAACTATTAAAAGCAATGAAATACACAGTACAGGATCCCCACCTGAAAACTGGCGAATGCGAAATGCGGAAATGCTGAAATGAGTAGCTGACGGAGGCTCGACTCTCCTCAAGCTACAAAATATATTGAGCGAAATATTCTAAGTATTGGCTCAGAATAAAACTCAAATCTTATTATCTTATATATCTAGGTTCGCTCATTCTGCTTTAAAAAAATCATTTTAGGGATTTACGAGCTGATTTTTGAAAATATTATTGTTTTTGAAGCATTCTAGAATTTTCTGAAATTTTTCTAAGTCTGGAACTAAAATCTGACTTAATCTAATTTGACTGAAATCTAACTATATCTGGATCTTAAATCTATCTAGAATCTCAACTATATCTGAAATCTTAATTTGACTGGATCTGAAATTTATCTCGAATCGTCCGGACTGACCGGACCGATTCGACTAAATTGGACCGACAGCTCACTCGGAGCCGGTCGGTCATTCTCTTGACTATGTGCAGCTCGGTTATTTATATTCGGATCCGGAAAAATACCCGGTTACCGGATCCGGATAAAACTAGGGTTTTGATTCTCGAAAATCCTAACTCATTTAAGGCCGATATTTAATATATATATTCTATGTGATTTATATATCAATTTATAATTCACAACTGCAGCTAAAGTATTAACCGGACTATTTTTCATATTTCTCGAATTAACGGCTAAAGTCCCGATTTTAAATCTAAGTCAACCGGCATCCAAAATTCATGAAATTCGCAACATAACATCCTCAACATATATCAGTCCATGGTCAACGTCTCAAGTCCAAAGTCAACTCCTAGACTAGTCAACTCAAGATCGCTACGACCGGTCAACACATTTGACCGGCTCGTTCGCCTATCAAACGAAGTCCGAAAATTCTCAAATTCGCACCAAAGCCTCAAATCAACGCAACTAATTTAATGGTATTTATTTCGATATTTTATCAAATTTATTTAAAAAGTCCGAAATAGTCGCTTCAAGCCCGAAAATCCCGATTTATTCAAATCTCACTCAAATCACCAATTTATCATTTTTATAATTATTCGATAATCGTATCTAAGCCATTGGAGTCGAGTTTTAGCCGATATACCTTAAATCGGCTCGAATCGGATAAACCGAAAGTAAATCGAGCTAGGAAAATGGATCGGGTGAAATGAAATTGGGTCGGGCTGCTCGGATCTGGTCAAAGGTTAATGGATTTGGTCGGTTTTGAGCTGCTGGACCCGAGTCTGAGGTGGACGGACGTCGGAAGGTGAGCTGGAGCTGAAATCGTGAGGACTCGCCGGAGCTGAGAGCTCGAGCTGCGGGAGATGGCGGCTGAGGTGCTCGGGCTCACCGGAAAAACAAGGCTGCGGGGATGAGCTTGCTGGCCATGAAGGGGCGGAGCTGCTGGGACGAGCTTGGGCTGAGAAAATGGCGAGCAGGCGGCGACGGGAAGAGCTGGACGGCGGGCTGCTCGTGGATGGCGGCTGGCTGCTCGTGTTTCGCCTGT